GCGCCCAGACAGTTGACCAGCCCGATCCAGCCTGCGAGAGCACATCCCCAGAGAGCAACCCTACGAGCCCAGGGCAGGCCCAAACCGAGGGGCACACTGGGGACACTTTGCCGACTCTGCCTACCCAGGCAGACCCCGGACGGACAGACAATGTTCCAGAACTACGCCGTTCCGGGCGCCAACATAAACCTCCTGCCTACCTCAAAGACTATGCATGTTCGCATCTGGGGGGAAGGGGTGTTATGTCCTGAGAACTATAGGAGTTCTCACTCAGGTCCACTCACTTTGAGTGGGCGTTCTTCCCCCTTTCCTCATTGGTTGGTTCTCCCCAGCAGTCAGCTATAAAAGCAGGCTGCGGGGTCCAACCAGTCGCTGATCGCTGCGAGCCAGTTCCAGGCGTGGCAAGCACGGTCAGCCCTTTATTACTTAATAAAGTATTGTTGCACTCATGCTCTGGTTCAGCCTCTCATTGCTCAAACTTAACACCCAGCATGATTGAAAACTTTATTTTGTTCTGTAGGGCTATATAAACAGAATTTCTAAAAAAATATCATGCTGTGTCTTCCTTGGAGGAGGTGGGAAAGGGACTCCTCTTAGGTTACTTGATTCAATGCAGTAATCATGTGTGGCTCACTGGATGTCACCTACCTATGAATGGATACAAGTTTCTAGATCTAAACTGCATCAAGCACTGACCCCACGTTGCAGTTATTAATGTAGGGAAAAATAGATATTTTATAAATATGCAGAAAGCAAGCATGTTAACTTGAATTAAAAGTGAATCCATTAAATTAACTTTTCATTTTTTGTTCTGGTCTCACCCAATTGTTTGTTCTAGAGTCCCTTCATCCTTTGGGAGAGTAGCTTCAAAGGTGAACGGTTGTCCAAATCAGAAAGATGTGGTGGATTCTTCTGCTGCTAATTTACAGCAAGCAAAATAATATATTTATAGCAGGCTACCCAGTAGCTACACATTTAGGCCAATGATGCTGACCATAAATTTTGAGCAATTTGGATGGATTTATGGGTGTCCTTGATATTCTGCACCTTTTGGTCCCAATCCAGAGATTTGTTCTACTAAGAAAATGTGTGCTTTGAATGAGAGGTATGTATCAGCTGGCCCAGCAGCTCAACATTACAAACGCCTTACTACTCCCTTTTTGTGATGGTGCCCAACAGCCATGTTGTCTTGAATGTTTAGGATGGATGTGCCAGACAGTAACTTTATCTCTAACTAAAGCCTGCTTCAGTTCCTCCCTCGCTCATCCTAGGAAGCCCAACTCAGTCAGTCATGCAAAAATGCCGGGCAAAGAAAAGATGGGAAATACAATAATTCCACTGCATTCACTGGATGCAACAAACGTAGTGGGGCTTTCATATTTAACCCTTCTTTTACTCCAACCTCTACTGGGGAAGTTCAGTTGCAAAATATTCAAACCTGGAAATTATTGACCCAGCGCTTGCAGCCGTGACTCAAAAGGGTTTTTTTAGAATCAAAAGGGAGATTTGAATGGGTAGCACTCATTTGGCAGCAAATGTACAAATAGTCCTTGACTTACAATCGTTCATTTAGTGACTGTTTGAAATTACAGTAGGACTTAAAAAGTGATTTTTGACCATTTTTCACACTTATGGCCATTGCAGCATCCCCGTGGTCATGTGATCAAAAATCGGATGCTTGGCAACTGTTGCAGTGTCCTGCGGTCAGGTGATCACCTTTTGAGACCTTCTGATAAGCAAAGTCAATGAGGAAGCCAGATTCACTTAACAACCACATTACTAACTTAACAATGGCAATGATTCATTGCAGTAAGAAAGGTCGTAAAATGGGGCAAAACCAGTGGTGGGATTCAAATTGTTTTACTACCGATTCTGTGGGCGTAGCTTGGTGGGTGTGATGTGGCTTGGTGGGCATGGCAAGGGAAGGATACTGTAAAATCTCCATTCCTTCCTCACTCCTGGGAAAAGGTTACTGCAAAATCCCCATTCCCTCCCCACCCCACTAACCTGCTTTCCAGATCCGTTCTCCTGTGCAGGGCAACAAAAGAAGACACAGCCGATCAGCTGGGACTGGGGAGGCAGAGAATAGATGGGGGTGGGGCCAGTCAGAGGTGTTTCTCTGAACTACTCAAAATTTCTGCTACCGGTTCTCCAGAACTGGTCAGAACCTGCTGAATACCACCTCTGGGCAAAATTTACAATGGCCTCAGTTAGCAACAGAAATGTTGGGCTTAATTGTGGTAGTAAGAAGGTCTACCTGTAGAAGAAACCACTGGCTTCTGGTTAAACATCTGGGTCTGCTCTTTCTCCCCTGGCCTCTGTTGAGCAGAGACCTGCTAAATGTCAAGCAAAGAAACAAGGATAGGATCATAGCATTTCTATTGGAGAAAACCCAAATGGAGAATGGTGTTTGCTGTCTCTTAAGACAACTCACACCATCATCCATTAGGGTGTTATGACAGCTGCTCACCACAGATGAATTCCTAATTATCCAAAGGAGATCAAAATATCCCAATTAATTTCCCTGGAGGGTGAGATGCGTCAGGATTGACAAAGAGAACAAAGTCGTTAGAACAGATAAAGGACTCTTTGAATTAACATTCAGACTGAACATTCATGGTGCACAACTCTGCTTGTTTGTTCAAAAATGTCAACCGCTATCCTGTTTGGAATGCTAATTTCTGGAAAAAATTGTCCTGAAACCTGATTTAGTATAGAAAGATCAGACATATATTTTAATCCATTTGTGAAATAGTAATTTGAACTACACCTTCCACTCCATCCCTGGGGAAAAAAAAAAGGATAATCTGCTCAATTGGGTATCAGGCATTCCTAAATAATTAGTAAGATAACAGTTTCCAAGGGCTGTTGAGAATACACATGTCAAAATGTGCCAGTTTTGTAGTCTTTGAGTTTTAGTGATCAATAGGAACTCTTGATATTCTTTAATATCTCGGGGGGGGGACACTGAACCAGTTGTTTTATTTTTAAGAAAGGCTATGGTGCAGGGGTGTCAAAACTCACGTTGTCATGACGGTGTTACATGACATATTGGGATTTTTTTCCCCTTTGCTAAACCGGGGGAAGGTGGGGAGAAGGGGGATGTGGCCAGCACGTGACACATCCAGCCCGTGGGATGGGAGTTTGACAGCCCTGTTATATAGGGTATGGTATTAATGATAGAATTTCATCAGAAAAAGCCACATTTCATGAAAGGATTGCCCCCAATTCCACAAAGAGAAAACAATCTCACTGGCAGTTGAATCATTCTTTCCATTTCAGAAGTAGGACAGCGCCCTTAAGAACACCCGACAGGAGAAGTCTACCTTACAGGGCGTACCGTAGGGCTAAAGACGATTGTCTGGAATGGCTACCCTGCAGTCCTGATCACAAGGGATTCGGTCTCTCGGTTCAGTCCGAATCGCTAATGCTGTCCTAAGACAAACCAGGCTAGCAATTTCAGGCAATCGTTGATCAATCCTCCATCCTGTAAGGTGGACTTCCCTTATCAGGTGCTCTTAAGGAGACTCTCCTACTGCTGAAATAGAGAGATTCAACTGCCAGTGAAGTTGCTTTCTATTTGTGGAATGGGAGGCAGAGGATGGGTGGGGGGGAAATGCTTTCTCTTTTGGCCAAGACAACAACATGTTTATCTGCTGCCCTGGGTTGAATTGTGAAAGGAACCATGTCTGTCCAAAGCCCAATTATCACTAGCACGCTCAGTGAACTTAGCCTAACATCAAGCGGGCATTATTATTTGTTTCTTTAAATGATCTCTCGGCCTACAGGATCACATATACTAAGCTGGGCAGAATGGCAATTCAGATGCTTATAATTCTAGGAATCCATTTGCGTCATTTCAAGTAGAAAATTAAAATGTTCGACCTGTGAAAAGAACACAGTGACTGCTCCAGACAAGGCGGAAGACAGCTGCAAGGAAAGTTCTTAAAAGCTGGTTCACATGTGCATTTCCCCTATTTTCATCCGAGCATATTAAAGGCCAGCCCCACCATTAGGTAAAATACAGTACCGATAGTCCTCGAGTTATAATGGTTCGTTTAGTGACCATTCAAAGTTACAACAGCAATATTTAACAGTTGAGGAAAAAGCTTTCAGGAACAGGTGTAAAGTGGCCCACTTCAGTTTTCATATTTTCTCCAATATTTAAATTGTTCTCCAATATTTAAATTATTAAAAGTATTGAAATAGGAACATATAAATTCTGAAAAGAACAGTCCAGGATTACCATGTCAGGTATGCAAAATCCTGTGCAACCAGTAGGTGACAATAGAGTTATTTATCTGACATCTGCTACCATCTAGTGTTGTTTGGAGTTTTGCAGCCCAGATATGGAGGCAGACAGTTCTTTTTATAAGAGGAAACCGATAACTCTTGTTCTTATTATGATGACATTCTTGTTTAAGAATGTGATACTATTTCTAATTTGTCATTCAATATGAGTGACTGCAAGGTTTCTCTCTCTCTCTCTCTCTCTCTCTCTCTCTCTGTCTCCCTCCCTCTCTCTCTCTCTCATACAGCTTATCAATTTCCAATGTCAGGAATAACAAGATGCCTCGCTGTCCCTGGGAATAACAACTATTGGACCAAGCAAATTCTATCTTTCTCACTGAAGTTATAATCAGGAACTAGCTGGTTTGTTGGCTGCTTCTATCATTATTCTCTTTCTCAAACCCATTTGAATAGTACCAAGCATACTGTAAGATTTAGTAAATAATAGACTTATTTTATTTTTAGACAACACTACAAACCGAGCATCAGCAGATCCAGGATTTATCATCTGAAAAATTCAGGGAAATATCGATTATGAAGTTCCTTAATCCCTGCCGAAAGATTATAGCATAATTTATTTCAACACCCCATGGCTGAACCTATTAATCATTAAGGTCACTGGAGGAAGTATAAAAATAGTAACTAACTTTTCTTCCCAGCCTCCTGTATCTTAATATTGCATAATAATGCTAAGGAAAATTACATCCTACCTTCAGTTTCTCTTGGGATAATATATCTTTTGCTGAAGAGACTCTTTTACATTTTTCTATCTCCATTTCCCAGCAAGAGGAAGATTTAAATCCCAAAAAGAAGGAGCTTAGCTGGCTAGGTGTTAGAAACCATGACTGCCCACACTTGAGTGGTGAGACTGGACTGGATCAGAAATGCCTGGGTGATAATTCTTCCCAGCAAGAGTTTCCATTTATAGCTTTAGAAAACTCACAAACAGGAGTCCTCTGGCAGGAAGACGAGACTCAGGCTTCAGATAACATTAAATGCCCTCTTGGCACTGATCCCATTGAAACCCAGCATAATTTTGGTTACCTGGAGCTCATGCCATCACCTTCACTAGAACTTCCTCGGAGAATTTGGAAGGAATTGGGAGACGGGAGACTGAGCTAAAAGTCCACAGTCAATCACCTGTCACTTTGAGTCATCTTTCACTCACTTTCTCTTAATCCTCTCCAGTGTTGTTGTCATGCCATGACTATAATTCAGAGGGACCTCACATTGCTGTTCCTACCATCGCTGCACGCACACAATAGATGGTGTCAAAAAAGAACCTCCCAATCCTTTTTAAAAGTTCAACATTTGAAGGTCAGTAGTCTAGGGATTTGTGGTAAAAGTGGATGGAAATGTCATCCTTAACCCAGCATTTCTTTGCATATGACATGCCACATCTCTGAATTCCCTTTGTGACTGTAAATTTAAGCACCAATTTCAGGCTGTCCTCCAGAGGCACACGCTAGAAAAGAAATACATGTGGCTCCGTATATAGATTATGCCAGCTTCCATTCCCTGCTGAATCTAGAGCATTGTTTCTCAGCCTTGGCAACTTTAAGATGGGTGAACTTCAACTCCCAGAATTCCCCAGCCAGCAAGCCCTACCTGCCCCATGGGTTTAAAAAAAGGAGGGGAAATGAAGGGAATGCTGCAACATTACAAACAACCCTCTGATAAACAGTCTGTAATCTACCACCTTAGGCAGCTTTTATTACAGAAAAATGGAGGCATTCTGCAAATTTCTGCCATTTCAGCAATTTTGTCCATGCGCATGGACTGATTGCACTGGGTTGCAAACAGGGGTGGGATTCAAATTTTTTAACAACCAGTTCTGTGGGCGTGGCTTAGTTGGTAAGCATGGCTTGGTGGTCATGTGACTGGGTGGACATGCAGGGGTGGGATTCTACCAGTTTGCACCTATTCGCTAGAACCGGTTGTTAACATTCTAAGCAGTTCAGAGAACCAGTTGTTAGAAGAAATTACTGGCCTAATCCTGTAAGGAAGGAAGGAAGGAAACATTCTGGTGTTGCTTACAGAAACTGCCTCTCCGTTAACCCTTATTACATTCTTGCCAGGACTAAACTTCCTGTTTCAGGAATTTCTCTGGAGTTTTTTTCCCCTCCTTTGTTGGTACTTGCTTGTGTGGAGTGACCATTCAAAGTTACAATGGCACTGAAAAAAATGACTTATGGCCATTTTTCACACTTACGACTGTTGCAACATGCCCACAGTCATGCGAGGCCAGGCGAGGAGATGCGTGCCTCGATGTGAGTGATATTGAGTTGGCCACACCCAGCCAATAACATGACCACCAAGGCATGTCCACCCAATCACATGACCACCAAGCCACACCCACCACCTAAGCCATGCCCACAGAACCAGTTGTTAAAAAAATTGAATCCCACCCCTATGGACGTGGCTTGGTGGTCATGTTATTGGCTGGGCGTGGCCAACTCAACATCACTCACATCGAGGCATGCATCACCTCACCTGCAAAAGTCGTAAGTGTGAAAAATGGGTCACAAGTCACCTTTTTCAGTGTTATTGTAACTTTGAATGGTCACTCCACACAAGCAAAGTACCAACAAAGGAGGGGAAAAAAACTCCAGAGAAGTTCCAGAGACAGGAAGTCTAGTCCTGCCAAGAATGTAATAAGGGTTAACGGAGGGGCAGTTTCTGTAAGCAACACCAGAATGTTTCCTTCCTTCCTTTCTTACAGGATTAGGCCAGTAATTTCTTGTAACAACCGGTTCTCCGAACTGCTTAGAATGTTAACAACCGGTTCTAGTGAATAGGTGCAAACTGGTAGAATCCCACCCTGGTTGCAAATCTTCCGCAATGGGTATATAAGCGCTGAGCAATGTAAGCAAAGTAATTTAAATGCCTCTGGGGAAAGAGAGTCACATTCCATTCTCAAAGCTGCTTTCTCCAGTGATGTAGCTAGATAAACAACCAAGCTATGTTTGCACACAGCAGTGTATGACCAATTGCAATCTCTAGGTATTAATTGCTGGACAAGATGGCCTCCGGGAATGGAAAGAAAACAGAGCCACATCTAGAAACAGAGAGATCTGGCTGGAAATGCTAAGAATCTGGTCCTTCTGCTAGTAAACTTCCATCCCTCCCTCTTACGTTTTCATTTGAATAGTAATCCTGCCCCCCACAAAATGAAATAGAACTAATGCGCAATTACTTCAGTTGCAAATGTTTTGGCATTCAGAGCATACTTTTTCAAGGAATGAGACAGGACTAACCGGAAGGCTTTTTAGGAATGCAGTAACCATGTATGTAAATAGGCAATCATTAGATAAAAGGGCAGAAGCTTTTTTTACTTGCTCAAACAGAAGCCTTAAATGAAAGGAAACAATTAATAAAAAAGTTCAGCTGCAGAGGGTGGCAAGAATCATTCTAAACAAGGGATGTAATGTAAGCATTTATTAGACTCATTTGAAGGTATTGAGACTGTTGGTTTTTTTTTTTAAAGGAATATAGTATTACTCCTTTATTTTATTACTGGATGGAGCCACAAATTTAAGCATGCCTGTCTAAGAACAGAATTGAATTAATGTTCTTTCTATTGACTTTGCCTCAGTCTCCCCTGTGCCGTTGACCTCTGTGTTGCATTTTGAACTGTAAGTACTTTAAGGCAGGGGCTTCTAATCACATTTGACCTTATTCCACTAATACTAACTCTACTGCAACCCACCTGATTTTATACTTAAACAATTCAACATGTAAATGAAGACTCAATCTTCCAGACCAAAAGTAAGTTAAAAGGTTAAATCATGGCAACTGAACCAAAATTTGAATGATTCAAATTAAACATTTGACATTAGATGTATAAATGTTGGCCAGAAATATTTTTTCCACTGAATGTTTAATGGCATTGTTGCAATACTGGGAACAAGCTTGAACTTCTACTCTATCTATTCTATCTACCTGACAATGTACCTGACAATCTACCTGGCACCAAACTCGATTGCAAGAAATACGACTTCAGCAACAGAGTGGTCAATGCCTGGCATACTCTACTTGACTCTGTGGTTTCTTCCCCAAACCCCAAAAACTTTAACCTTAGACTGTCTACTATTGACCTCACCCCTTTCCTAAGAGGCCTGTAGGGGACGTGCATAAGTGCACCAACATACCTACCGTCCCTGTCCTAATGTTCCTTTTTATTTCTATCCATTTCATGTACTCATAATAATGTTTATACTTATACATGTTATCTAATACATGCTTGACAAAAAAAATGTAGAAAATATTTGGAGGATCAGTGACTGTTTTTTCTTTGGGAACTCTTTTTTTAGGATTCTTACCTGGCTGAGGAAAATCAATAGTTACTTTTCAGGGTAGTGCAAGGTGGCCCACTTGGCCTTTATAGAATAGGAGTGTGTGTGTGGGGGGGGTATTTTTCTATACAGAGAAGTCCATCTCATCCAACAAAGGGAAGAGAAGCTGCCCATAAGTACTATTATTTAGAAAGCAGGTTGGTAAAGCTGCCTTAAAAGAGGATTTTGCACAAAACTTCATCAAAGCAACACAACTCTTTGCTGGTTTATCCAGCCCTTCTATATTTGCCTGGGATGGAATGGAGGCTGTGATGTCTTCTTACCCATAGAAGAATAACGTGGCAGCAGTTCCTGGCAGATCAAGTCAGGAGTCCAATATTAGCAACCCAACTGGGTGGGGAACATTTCCTGGCTCCGAGACAGACTCCAAGGCCGCCGATAATAACAACAGCAGCAGCACACCCACCAGTTGCTACACCAACTAAAGCAATGTCTTGGAAGTGATTCCTCCCAGTGGACAGTAGCCAGTCATCACTGAGTGAGGACACCTGCCCAGGAGTAAGAACACGTTATCTTAGGTTGCTTTTTCCACAGTTTTTTTAAACAGGGTTTTGAGTCCTCTTCACTATTTGTGGGCCTTTATTAAGACTACCAGAAGAGTAGGGCAGGTTGAACAAGGAGGAACTAGGCACGCAATACTATCACACCAAGCTAACTGATTTGTGAAAAATAACATTTTTATAATATTTTATTGTACATTTGTCATGCTTTCTAAAAATATCATAGTGTTTGACATACCTTGGAAATGAGGAGGAAATTAAATCAATGTGGAATCTAGTAGAACCTTCGAGATTATTTGGAGGGAGGGGGTTTGGTATATAAACAAAGCTTCTGCCTCCTTCAAATTGAAGTTGCTTGAAGTTGCTGCACATTTATGTTATTTATTCTCCTTTTACCATCACATTTGCTGTTTTAAGTGCTTTCTGGTTTTGTGTGATGCTGCTAGAAAGTTATAATTGCATTTTTATCAATGAAAACAAATATTTAAGGTTTGTCACCAATGCAATTTTATCTACAAATATAGTATATCTTATTTCTATAGCAATACGAATAGGGATTATGGTCTAATTTTCTAAAAACGAATAGTCTGAAATACCATGGGAATGTCTCTAAAGACATCAGGTTCTGTCCTTTTCATTGTTTTTTTGTTTTCAAATTGTGAAAGATTGATTCTTGGAGCCATTGTGACCTAATGCTTTTATCTAATGCTTTTTAGTAAGACAGAAAAAGGTGAACAGGAAAATATTAGAATGTGCAGAAATGAACAGCAATCAAAGAAAAGGAACAAACTGATTATGATATGATATGGGAATTATTATATCAATGGATGGAGAATAAAAATGGAAATTAGAAACTTAAAGAAGACTAGTGAAAAATAGGAACATGTGAATAAGAATTAAATATGTTAAGAAGGGGATTGTTATAATAATTAGATATATTGTGTATAGTAGCATGAAGTAAGAATAGAGTACTGGTAGTATAATAATGAATATGTATTAAT